TAATTTTGGCCTTATATCATGAGCCCTTTAACCTCCAGGGAGCAAGGCTGGATAGATAAAATCCTTCCCCCTTTTTTGTAATCAGAACAGGTGATAGACGCGGCCACTTGTATATCTGGCTTGTTGATGGTAGTGAGTGACTTTTACGGTCAAGGTCTCGATACATAAATGACATTGTAACAACAGCTATAACCATGCGATGATATATATGTGTCAAACTAGCCCCGGCGACTGTAATCTATAGCAAGAAATAATGCTTCCATTTTAGGTTGATTATATAGTCGCTGTGCACCGTGGATTGCCAAACAAGCCAGATGAAATTGTATATACCCATTGTCTGCTCTCCAGCTGTAAGGCAATGACACTATAAGCTGTCTTCTATTGATTATAGGATGTTGATGTATGTAAGAGTCTGTATACCCGAATGTTCTAATTTAACAAGCTTGGAACATAGTTTAAAGGGGATGTCTGCAACTTCAGTAGTATTGTAAAAGAGTGCATATTTTTGACCGTGTGACCCTGTACTATCATGGAAAGTATTTCGAAAACGTTTGTCCTGTTGAAAATAACCACAACCAGAAAGATTTGCTGGAGGCGAATAGGTCGGCCAATGGCAAGGGTTTGAATACATTTCGTCCTATTAGGAAGCTGTGAGGGGGATTATGGGCGGGTCCAACTGGCACTTTTTCTCTCTCTCGTTATGTTGGTAGTGTTATAGTAGTATTCAGAACAAATGTCTTGTATAAAAGTAAATAAATACATATACGATATCACACACAAATGAATGAGTGTATAAACTTTTATAATCAACAAAAAATGTAAAAAGCAACATTACATGTATTTAAGCTTTAAATGTATGCATATTTCCGAATATAAACACTGTACTAATATGTGCTTTAAGTATTTTGCACTAATGATATATTTAAAATTGTCTCTCCCTTTGGCATTACTACAACCAGTAAGATTTTCATGAGGAGAATAGTTACACCAATGACGAGGGCCCTCAGGGATTTGAATTCATCTTGACCAATCAGAGTTTATGTGTTTTGTTTGGATGTGTTTCTGCTGCTGGACACCTCAAGTTCTCCTACAGGGATCAATAAAGCATTTTTCTATCTATCTATCTAGATGTTAGATGTTGTCCCCATCTGAATACCTTGCGATGTATTTGTAACATACCATTTTTAAAACTCAACCCAGCTTCCGTCATCTCTGCGGGCGGTGCACATGGCTGTCTCTTTTATTACCTGTATCTCACACACGTCACACGGAGATGATGGGAAAAGAGGATTTGATAATTGAGCCCTAAACACGCTCGACTGTAGACGGTGGTCCGCACGGAGGCAGTTACAATCAGCGGTGGAATCAGTCATTGGTAGTAGATTATCAGCCGTAATCCTGAAAAGGACAGCAGCAGGAGGCGGCGAGAAACCGGACTTAATCATTTGAAGAAGAGAGATTGAGTGAAGCGCTGGCACCATGCGGCTCCACACGACTGCTGTTATTTAGAGCAATCAGAGAGAGCGTAGCACACTTACATTTGGAGTCTATACTGTCAAGAAATACCATGAGAAATCTAAGCTATATCTGCTGGAACATTTAGATTTTTTACAGAGCTTTTCCTGTTTAAGCCTTTATTCGGTACTATATAAGGCTTTTGACCTCATACTGATGCGGTATTGGACCAAACAGAGACTTCACTACTGCAATCCAACTTCTTGTAATAATCCTTTTTTTAATTCATTCAAGCAGATCTGTGTATCCCTGTATCCCACTGCAAATTTCCCTGAAGATAAAGTTTATTTTCTTATCTTATCATATCTTATAACGCACTGCAGTTGCACAGATCATATTGTTATACCTCAGAACTCCCAGAGCAGTCAAATTGACGGCTTTTTGATTTAGAAGTGTAATTGCTTGTGTGTATGTACCTTTTTGGTCTTCATAACTTAAATTTTTTCTGCATCTCTAGTGGTTCATAGTAGTTCATTATCTTTAAGTAAGTCACTTATTATTTTTGAAACATGAGTAGTTTTATCTTTGAAGAGCGAGTGCTGGTTACTATAGCAACACGCTGTTTACCGTCAGCAGTTAGCATTTGGTCTTTAGCAAAAAAAAATCCTTTTAAATTACTTATAAAAAATCTGGTAAAAAACTGATTTTTTTTGTGTGGGAATTTCTCTGAATTGAATTTATTTGAATGGGAGCAGTCAAAATGACGGCTCTCGGGTTACATAGGACAGATTCAATACACACCAGGAAAAGAGAGATTGTCTTCTGCCGACATTGGATTTATTGGTGATCTTGTTTCCCTCTTTTCTCTGCTTTAAGATAAACATATTCCCATCAAAGCAACATGTAAAAAGACGTCATAATAACCAGTTCTTGTTTATGTGAAGCCATTTTTAAAATGGCCGACAGAGAGAAAGTTTACAAAGTTAAACAAGACATTGCATTTATTTTGCCTTGTTGAGCTAACATTGCCCCCCCTCGACCCAGACATGGATGAATAAATGGTGTGTTAATGAATGAATGAATAAATGAGCTAATATTACAAGAAAGTTAATTTTAATTTATTTTGTTTAGTTAAAAAGTTTCATGGTTTTCCTCGTGAGAAATACTTGATGCAATTGACTATTTTCCTCGTGGATATTTTGGTGAGAGGTGTAATCCAATATTTATGCGACGCCAGAAAGACATGCCAAAATTACCCCAATCTGATGCAAGTGATAACGTCTAATGTCATCACCGAGATCTGGGAGAGAATGTAGAAGAGACACGGACATATCGACACAGATAAAACAGTTACACACACGTTTAAGGCTACATTTGAGAACATTAATTATCATTCAGCCGCAGTTGTTACTTTTGCTTTTGACTTCAATTTTCCTTTTAGCACATTTCACAATAAATGTATTCTCTGATCGGTTTCCCTAAGCACACAGACATGGGCCTCCTCATGGTCCTGTCTGATATTCAAGCGTTTATTCAAATGTGTTGCCATCAGTGCTGCTGTGTGTGATCAGACTAATAGAAGGAGACATGCTGCTCGCTGGAGTTGGTGAGTGGGAGGTGACAAAACCAAATCTGCGCTCTGTGATTCATCTCACAAGTAAAAATAGTGAGGTTCATGGAGGATAGAAGATTCAGTAAAGAAACAGAACTTTGAAAACACTGATATGTAGCAGTATAGCCATAGGTGTATTAGGTCACACCCAGCGGGGGCGGGTCCTGCCTCAAAAGGGTCCATGAGCACTGCTTTGGACATGCTCATAACCTGACTCCTTGCCAGTGGTGCCGTACCCGGAAAAGGAATTATCCAATGAATTCTTATGGCACCTTTTTTCCTCTCGAGTCTGGTCCAAAAGCCGGCTCTTGAGTATTTCTTTGTTTTTGGGACCAGCCTAGTTTAGCCGTTGTGGACTTTTGAATGCACTCTTTAAACGAACGGCACGTGTAAGGCTCGTGCCGACTTACGCATGCGCAAATGATACAGACTCCTCTCCGATAGTGTTTTTTCACCATTTTCCTGCGGGAGGGGCGGCTCATGGCTATTTTGAAACTGCCCATGTCGGTCACAGGAGATAGGCGTCAGTACGTCCGTTTATTTACAATCTATGGTCACACCACAAATTTAAAGTCCTGCGCTCCAAACCAATCAAGATGGCTGCCCATGCAAATCAATGACCTGTGCTGCGCCTAATTTAAGGTGATGGTTTGAGTGTGCATATGATAGTTGTACTTTTTAGTCCTGAAAATACATTTTTTACTGGATTTTAAAAAATCCAGGTGACGCCATGCCAGATTTGGAAGACATTGTGAGCCCATTATTACTGACTTAACCTGAATGTCAATGTTATTTAAGGATGAAGATCAAGAGTAAGCCTCAAAGTTATATTTTTTATATCTATATCTATTAACGCAGTAGGCAGGGCTGAAACAATTGAATCTCAACTAATCAATTATTGAAATTGTTGTCAACAAATGTATTAATCAATTCATTTTTATTTTTTAAACAGTACATAGACTTACCCATGCAGAGAACAGGTTTATGATTCAGATAATTCCAGAATAATGACAGTAGAATAAAATGAACATGTGTTGTTCGGTTAAAAAACAAAGTATTTTTAACCGAACAACCAAATGTGTAACAGTCTGTATGAAGATGTTCTCAGGGGCAGCACTGGAGCTTTGTTTTAATCTCTAATGTATAAACCGAGTTTTCCGGATCGATGAATCGCTGGTGTGTACTATTTGGTGCACACTGGGGTAGTCTCGCACAGTTTTTCCAATGTGGTTTTACTGCAAATGGCAAATATACTCTTGTATCTTCTTGAATCTAATCACAGCCCTCGCAGTTGGTCTGTTGGTGACATTTAATCTGAAAGTTGGCTGTTCCTCAAATATTGTTCATACAGTGAATGACCCACAGGTTGGTGGATTGATTTCAGCCATTACAGAATACTGCCGTTGTGTCCTTGGACTGGACACTTCACCCTCCTCCCCCAGCACCTATATGTACACAGGAGTATGATGTGTGTGAGAATGGATGAGTGGTCCCAGGATGTAAAGTGCTTTGAGTGCTTTGCTGTTTGGAAGTAGAAATAAAGTGGATTGGATTGCTACAATAATGTGGCAATATATCATTTTTATATATCACAAACATGTCTTGTACATTTGAATGGATTAAGTAATTGATTAGGATAGTGCGGCTCAATTATATATATGGCATTTATCAACACAATTATTTACTTTTAGGTATTTTGTTACCTTTTGTATACGTGGGTGCCGAGAACAGAATTTAAACCAAAAGTGAACCAATAATCTAAATTTTTCTCGATTATTATTGTTATATAGAAAATTGTACATTGTAATTGGAATCCGATTTCACAGCTTTAACTGATACATACTGTTAGTTTGTGAAGCAAATCTCGATCACTTTTGGTGAGCATTGAAATTTGATGTGGTGGATCTTTTTGTCATTTTTCTGACAGTTGTAAATGAGTGTGCCCTTGCTTGCCGTGGGGTTTCAGCGTGTGCTCTTCTCTCCGCAGGACGACATCAGTGCTGCTCATGTGACTTCAGCAGAGGGTTCCGCTCTAACCACCCGGCGGTCCTCACTTCAACAACATGACTCACCGCGGCCTGCCCCTGCATCTCCTGCTCCTCTGCTTCTCTATGCACGGTAACCAAGCCGATAACACTTTTTACGCTAAATAAATCATGAAAACTTTTACCTCTGTTGTTATGAATACATCAGGAAGAGATTAAAAAAAAAATGGCAGTACATTTCTTTTGTAGATACTAATGGTTTTATACATTTTAAAATATGACGTACTGTCCCTTTAACTGGACCAGGTCTAGTTCAAAAATGTTGATGTAAACTGACTTAAGAGACGAGTGAATACATGTTCTCTTGTTTGGTGGTTTTAGATCCGCAGATAAAGTAGTATTGCCCAAAGTGAACCAGACCAATAAGTGAGAACTCTGTGTCTAAAATATCCAAAAATTATGTACGTCAAGAAGAAGAATACATAATGATGAAAATATCCCCTGTCAAAACTTGACGACCGCATCTTCCCCGACTGTTGTGGAGCTGACAATGCAACATTAAAGTCAATTAACCGCAGACAGACGTCAAAGCTCGAGATGGCCGCGGTGAGGCTGGCTTCTTTTAGACTCACGGCGAAACTGGGAGTTATATCTAATGGGATTGAAGTTGCACTCGATTTGATTTCCTCGTGTGGTCTGCTGCGGTGGAAACACAATGCAGCTGGCAGAAAAGAGATGGACTGAAAATGACCTGTCCACAGAGATACATCTCACTTTATTCCCCTGTCTCTGTGTCTGCCGGCTCTCAAGTGACGTCAACGTAGATTCTATATAAATGGACAATGCTAACTTCATAGCTCAATGACGCCCAATAGGGAAGTGCTCACGGACGAAATTTGGCTCCAACTCGCTCTGGCTCCTGTTGACTTACATTGAAAAGTAAACCTCCTCTAGCTCAGTAACCGTTTGCTCGGTCGCACTCACTCGCACATTTTGGGGCGTAGAAAATCTGTGGTTTAGCGCTCGCTTTGATCTTTTGATATTGTCATCGTAAATCCAGATATGAGCCATATAAGAATTGACCAATCAGATGCCTTCAATTGTGGGGGAAACTTTCCTTAGCAACCGCCTAAGCAACATGTCTGCCCCTGTAACGCCATGAAATTCTCATATAAGAAAGAAAATTGGCTCCAGCTAGCTTAAGTTCAAATCGGTTCGAAGGCTAACAATGGTGCACACTTAGGTGTCCTTGCACGGTTTTTCCAATGTGGTTTTACTGCAAATGGCAAATAAGTTCTTGAATCTTGAATATTGGTGACATCCGCTCTCGTCCACATTGCTTTGAGTTGATGAACCAGCTCTTTACTAGCTTCTGTTTTTTCCATATATATATATTATACTTTACTGCATGCATAGATGAGGAAACGATTGCCCCCTCTCATTTCTCTACGTTGGCGATACATACTGTTAAATTGATAAAAGCATACATTGTACTGAATGCCCTAATGTAACAGCCCGCCAGCTCATTTCCTGTCCAAATTGCAGGTGCCTCGACACAAGGAGAAGATTTCTATGAAGGTAAGAGAAGGCACTCACACACTACACACACTATTTTGATTGTACTTGACCTTACATTGTACTGCGCATGACACACCATTACAGTATATACCAAGTTAGAACCAGGGCCATTATGTGTTCAATTCTATTATAGTCTCTCATCTCTCCTGAACATGTTGCTCCGTTAAGCTCCTGTTCAGGGGATGTTTAAATGACAGTGGTAACAGATGGCCCCTATTTTAACAAAAGGGCAGAAATAATTAATTTGATTCTGTAGGTCGTGAATCTATTCTCCGTGGCTATTTCTGGAACTCCACTAACCCTTTCTTTCCAACATCTGTGGTTAACTATGTGTCTTTAAACAAGGACAGCTGTACCTGTCACCCATCGTAGGTATCACTTTAGATTAGCCCTCACTAAAATACAGCTAATTTGTGTACCCTAACCCTAACCCTAGCCTTAGCCCTATTCCTAACCCACATAGGAAAGAGTCAGTTACAGTAGGTCCCATTCCGTTTTGTCGCCTTTCACGCGTGAATCACACGAGACTCACGTGTGATTCACGCGTCTTTTATTTTCCCCCCTCCCAGTGACGTTGCAATGACCAAAACAACCACCAGGTGGCACTTGTGAGCAGGGTTACATTGGCGAGTTTCTGCCCCGCGCACATCGACAATCTGGTTAAAACTCCTTGTAGCAGGCCAGTCTCTGGAATAACCCGCAGACATTAAAACTACTGCATATAACGTAAACTTTTGCATCACGTTGGTGATCTTTCCAAAAAGAGAGAATATCGTTATGGAAAGAGAAACTATTGGTAATATAACGCTGAACGTTATCTGACTCAAACAGCTCCGCTGGTGTCTCCTCCCACTCAGAAAAAAAGCAGACGCCTTTTCTCTGGCATCTCTAACATTTATAATAAATACATAAATATAACAATCATAATGAAGAGGCTTTCAAATAATTTAGCAAGCTGTAATTCATTTATTTTAACTGCCAAACTTCTCTCGCTGCTCCTCTCCTCTCCTCCGCAAATCACTAAATGAGGAAAAGGGAATATTCACTCAATCTATTTTGAATGTTACACATACAATATTAATATACAGTAGTCTAAGCACGTGTACCACTTGTAGCCCGTGTATTTACCACAGACTGTAAGTATTAAAGTATATGAGGCCCCTGCTTTAGGCCTCTGCTGTGAGGCCCACACCGTCATCAGTCTCGGTGCCTCTGTGTAGATCACACGTCTGTCCTCGGGCTGGAGTGTTCTGAGGCTTTAAGCGGGGAGTCAGGAAGGAGCGATCCTGTTTGTCAGCATGATTTTTTTGTTTAACAGCCTCCCTGCGCGATTGCAAATGTACTCAAGGGACTCCCATACCGTGGCTCACATATATAATATTATATAGGGATCAGGAGCTTTCTGACCCGACCCACCCGCACCTGACATGACTCATATTTTTGAGGCATCCAACCCGCCCGAAACCGCGGGACCCGCGGGTTGACTGCGGGTTTCGGGCCGACCCGCGCATCTCGCATGTCCTGTTCAGGGCTGCAGGAGCAATTGTCCATTATTTTAATTGGACTTCTGGTCCATGCACACTGTAAAAAAGATAAAGTTAGTTTAACTCAAAATTTCAAAGCAACCAGCTGCGAAGGATTTTTGAGTTGAAGGCATTAACTTAATTCTTCAAGTTTTGAAGAACTACACTTATTAAGTTGTGTCAGTTAAGTTTTCCAAGTTCTGCCAACTAAGTGTTTAAATTCAAGTTACTGGAAATTTCAAGTCTGTAAAAACTTACTTTTTTAAGTTCAGATTACTGTCCCCTACAATAACTTACTATTTTGAGTTTAAATTAGCCCCCACATTAAAAGATCATGATGTTTATTTATATTGCGCATTTCATGGACCAAGGTCACTTGGGTAGGGGAAACCGGAGCACCCGGAGGAAACCTATGCAGACACAGAGAACATGCCAATTCCACACGGAAAGGCCCTGTTCCGACCGGGATTCGAACCCAGGACCTTCGTGTCAAGAAGCGAGAGTGCTATCCACTCAGCCACCGTGCCGCACACACTGTGAGCCAGAGGGGAAACTTAATGTTTCTAAGACTGACCCAGAGAATATAAAGGGCTACTTTGGCTTGACCCTGTCGATTACGGTTGGTAAAAATAAATACAGTGATTTTTTTGGTCAAATTAGTTTGTTCAAAATGTTGAATGCAGCTGGTTGCCATAACACATATTTAAATGAGCAAACGCAGATAAGTTGACCTCACTATAGCTCGGTGAACTGTAAAAACGACAACTCAAAATTGTTCACCTTACTCAGATTTTTGCATTCACTGACAATAAAATTTCCAGTTGGAACTGGAACTATCTTGTGAGCCACTTGAACTTTCAGAAGTTCACTACAACTTAAAAGTCAAATCAACTTAATATATAAAATAAGATGAACTTTTCATCAGAAACTTCAGAAAGTGAGTGTCGAAAATCAGACGCATAGGCAGGGATCTTTGCACACCAGAGCAACCTGGAAGTTTATTCACAACAGGTGGTAGATTCAGGCAGAACAATAAACAGGGAAACATTATATATTGGATATATTGGCGTCAGTCAGCTAAAACAACGGATACACAATCGCAGATATACAATCAAAGAACATTGTGTGTCTTGTACTTCTATTTTATCTTGTTTTTGTACTACTATACAGGCCATGGCCTTCTATTGTTCATAAGTTCCAACTGGCAATTTTATTGTCAGTGAATGCAAAAATCTTAGTAAGGTGAACAATTTTGAGTTGTATTTTTTACAGTCCAGCACCAGAAGTCGCATTAATGGTGAGTGTTATAACAACATTATTTAAAAGAATAAATTCAGAGGCTTATTATATATATGATTCGAAGTTTGCGTGTTTCCGTTAGACATTTTCTGATGCGCAAATAAATTTTTTTAAACATGATGCCAGAGTGTGAACATGTTTATTGTTGTCCAAATCTTGAATTTCATGCGTGTTTTGGCGTGTTGTGCCGAAGGTTGAAATGAATAGTTGCTAGACTGTAGTAAACTTGTAAAACGATATTGCTAATACAAATGTATGATGGGTGGGAAACTTTCTTTCTCCGTGTTTTACAAATATAATGGAGTTGGCTGATGAATGTCTGCTTAGTTTTAACACTAGAAACCCAAGCGAAATTGGCCCCTGTTTTGAAAAGAAGGATAGGTTGGCTGCTAACATTTGCATGTATTGATTTGCAAATTTAGGTAATGACTTATAACAGCAGGGGCCTGGGGTGGGCTTTGTTTATTCGTGTGGGGGAGGGAGAGCTACAGTAGTCCACAGATACATTTTTGCGCACAGATTTTCCTGGTGTATTATGCAGTGGAATTTCATGATGGGGTGGCCGACTTTTTCTTCAATCAGTTTGACAGCCCCCTTGTGTCTCCCCACCATAGCGGGGGCGGCGTCTGTGGTCACTGCAAACACTTTTCTGATATTAATCCCTCGTTCTTCAAAATGTTCAATTAATGCCTTGGCCACGTCTTCACCTTTTGTAGTGTCAGGCATTGTCTTCAAGCAGCATAGTTCTCTCTGATGATTGAATCACAGTACCTTGCCATGACTGCCAAACGCGGGATGTCATTCACATCCACGCTTTCATCAAGTGCAATGCTAAATACCGCTGCCTCTTTTAATCCAGCTGTTTGCTGAGCTCTGACATTCACAGCCATTTCATCAATACGTCGCTGAACACTTCTAGCTGACATGGGAATGTCCTTTATACGTGACTTGATGGTTTCTTTATTTGGAAAGCTTTCAAAAAGAGCATCTGAGCAACTGAGAAAAGCCTCCTTAATAAATTCACCATCCGTAAACGCTTCCCATATTTTGCAATGCAATGCGCAATGCGATAGCTTGCTTCTGTCCGTGATTTTTAGCATAAAAACCTGAGGAGCTAGCTTGTTTTCCATATCTGGACACAGCACATTTAATTGACTCTACTTTGTCTGATTGGTCTTTGAAGGTCTTCTCGTGCTTCGTCTCAAAATGACGCTTAACACTTGAAGTTCTGCACACAACATTTTCACAGCATAAAGTGCACACAGCACGGTCCTTCACAAACACAAAACCAAACTCTTGTGTCCAGCAGGACTGGAATGGCCTAGGTTTTGCCTTTTCAGCAGCCGGCGTTGCCATTGTTTACATATCTTATCACTATCATGCTATCTGTCATTCATTCGGCGCGAAGACAGCTGAGAGGGCGCTAATCCACGTAGTGGTCCTAGTGCCGGCAGTTAAAGCGCACAGACAGAGGCAGATGCTTTTAATAGCCATAAAATGGCCACATCAACATTTCAAAGACTGAAAAACAGCTAGCCTACACATTTAAACTAAAACAAGTGTAGGTTGAGGCAACATCAAATGATCAGATGCATATAGCAGACAGACAGTGACGTGCGGTGAGGATTGTGATTGGGGAGGCACTGACTTTAAATGTCAGATTTACTATCATTATTAAAATAAAATAGCATTTAATCACCGATGCAATAACATTCACAAACTTCCCATGCTGTAAAGATGAGAGAACTAGCTTCTTTTAATAATCTCACAACCAATCTAGTTGCTGACTCTCTGCTCCGCATCAAACAACATCTTTAAGAAGAACAGGTGCGAGAGCGAGAGAGAGAGAGAGACGTGAGCAGAGAGAGAGAGAAGAGAGAGAGACGTGAGCAGAGAGAGAGAGACGTGAGCAGAGAGAGACGTGAGCGAGAGAGAGAGAGACGGAGAGAGAGAGAGACGAGAGAGAGAGAGCGGAGAGAGAGAGACGTGAGCGAGAGAGAGAGAGACGAGAGAGAGAGAGAGAGAGAGACGCGAGCAGAGAGAGAGACGGAGAGAGAGAGAGAGAGAGAGAGAGAGCAGGAGAGAGAGACGAGGAGTGAGAGAGAGAGAGACGAGAGAGAGAGAGAGAGGAGAGAGAGAGAGAGAGAGAGGTGAGCAGAGAGAGAGAGAGAGAGGT